CCCCAAAACCCCAAAACCCCAAAACCCCAAGGTTACTATTAGTTTGAATTTGAAGGAAATTAAAAACTTAAACATTTATTCTTGATTATTTCTAAATTACACGATGAATCATTATATAGATTATTCCATAGATTTATCAAAATATACAGAATCCTACTCTTATATTGGAGCGTATTATGCCTCAATATCGTTCGACAGAATGGTTTTTAGCTTGTCCTTGCGAAAATTGGGATCGAAAAGCCTGTCCATTCTGTCGCTTATTTCTTTTATTGATTTATAGTCGATCAAGTCAGCTGTACTCCCAAAGCCCTTGTATTTGTCTTGGTTTGGCATTATTATTGGGAGTTTAAGTTGATTTTACTTCGGTTATTCATGTCTTTTATGTTTAGTCTTAACTGAGATAAGGTTTTTTTATTGACTATGGTGCATTCTATTAGTTTTCTTTCTCTTAGCAACTTCTTCATCTTTTAAAGGCCGAACTGATTATTCCTGTGATCTATCAGTATTATAGGCAGACCTACTCTACTTTTAGACGCCTTGACTAGTTTTGGATATATCTGCAGACTTGTAATTTTTGCAGCTAAATATATCACAAATATCTGATGGCTTTTCATATCTCTACCATAGAACTAAATAAATTTATTTGATACATCATTGAAACAATCAGAATTATCTTGTCCTCCAAGTTCTGCCAAGATTTCAAATATCTGAGGATCATCTACGTAAGCTGCAAGATGTACTGCCTTGTTACCAAACTATTATAATCTTGAGATTAATTAAAAAATCGCTTACTCTATCAGTATATGAGCTTAATTCATATTATGCATTTTCTTATACTAAAATCGATCGTAGTAGTGAATGATTCTTCATGATTATAGTATAATGAATATAACTCATTTCTGTCTAAAACAAGTTATCATTAGAATAAAGTTATATATAAGATGGGGGACATATAAACAATAATTCTTACATTTGTAAAAGAAAGCTGTTTCAGATTAGGGATTTCTCACAGCACGCTGAAAATGTTATTTTCATAAGAAAGTAAATCTTGCGCTCTTGTTATTTGATTCTAAAAAGTTGTCATTGCCAATATGAGAAGTGAAAGCTAAATTACAATTTCTTCTATAGTTTTATTTTAATATAGGAAAGTAGAACATAAGCTTCCCATGAATACTGCCTATAATTTTATATTCTATTAATTAATTAAGATCGTTAACTTTAAAACATAGTGCGAAACTCCATGGGGTTTTGGGGTTTTGGGGTTTTGGGGTTTTGGGG